TTAACCCATTAGCAGAAATCTTCAACATTAACAGCCATTGAAACAGATATGGTTGTTATAATGTATAAATTCTTATCTATAATGTATAGTATCAGGAAATATATTGATAAATTTATTTCTTTCTGTAGGAATCAAATAAGAGATCGTTAAAAGATCTGCTTGGTGGTGATCTTCAATGCACAGAAAATATGAAATCTATCTGCCAACACCATGATACATTATATCCTGGTGAAAATTTAATTGATTTACGACCTAATTCAAACTATCTCAAGAAACTTCCTTTCAAAATTTTGGAACCATATTTTAAGGCGCTTGATGACAAAATTGAGAATTTAATTCCATCCAATGTACACAAATTCCTGACAGAATTTTTTCAGCAAGATTTAACCGGCGAGGAATGGCACATTAAGATTGATGATCTACGCTGTTCAGATCAGAATGATTGGTTAATGGTATCAATTATACGAATTTTACGTAGAACATTACCTCCATTGTAAGCACAGAGTACAAATGCTTTTGCATTCACTCATAGGTGTCATATTAACAGTATGTTTACTTAATTCTTAGCATAATGGCATTTTCCATGGGACCCCGAAACCCACTACTTAACTTAGCTACATTAGAAAAACCCCACTTAAACTCTTTTGTCCACCCATGTCTACAAGCATGTCTCTGGTATATTTCAGCCATATGATATGAATTCGGAGAAATCGGATCAAAAAATCATACAAAACGTGAATGTGCTGACGGTGTCGGGTATCTAAACACAGCTGATAAATTTCAGTTAGTTTATATGGAAGGGTCGAAGCCAAACGCTAATGATGACAAAGAAATTTCGGACGCCTCAAAAATATCCCATAACCTTCGAACCATTTTTATAAATATAATAAAATATAACATAAAGTGTAGACGACGATTTCCCAAAACACTTGCTGTTTTCGGTGGGCAAAGTTTCCGCCTTCGAATTCACCTACAATTTTTAGACTATTGTGGTAAGTTATGTATGTTTGATTTACACTATTGTCTATATTAAAACATTCATTTTATTGATTAATGGTATTCTAATCTTAGAAGGAAAGTTCTGTCTTAATGAAGTGGACAACGCCAATCTTCCACGCGACTTCACAGAAATGGCGGACTTTGTATTTTTTTATGAGTGCGTGATAAAATGGGCTGTAAGTATCCTTGTTATTTATAATAAATGATTCGCATTAACAAATATTAATAGCAAATTATGAATTTAGTTGCTGGCTCGGAAAGTAAAGGAAAGTTTTGAGGAATCAAGAGCCGAAAAGAGACCATCGAGACTCTCCTACATTAATAGTTTGAATGTAGCGGATATTCTAGAAAATGGTTGTTGAATTTAATCATGGTGAATAAAAAAACAAAATTTATATAAATTACATTATTCATGTAAATCGTATTTGTAACGCCGATCACTTTTGCCAAGAAAACTATTCCGGAAAAATTATTGTTAAATACACGAAAAAATAACACATGATACATTGTACGTTTCTCTAACCGAAATCTTTATTAATAAAATATATAGACGATGAAAAATACAGGATAGCGGAGCTAGTGTCAAGACACATAAAATACAGAATAAATAAAATCTATGGATAATCATCTCGTGGGTTGTACTGTCTTCCACTAATCTTTGCGATAGTGATACAGAACCGTGGCATAGCAGGGATATATTTGTGATTAATATATTACGTAAAAGTAATAAAGTTTCTATAAAGTTAGTTACAATGTTTGCATCTGATACTTGTACAGGGATTTCGGCTGATTGTATATGATAATATCTATGGATATTAGTGTTAACCCTAACAAGAACATTTAAATGTAACATTTCCCACTACCTGTATCCCAATTATTCCAATCGCTCTTTTTCTGGTTCAAGAGCTTTGCAAACATAATACATACCATCATTGCACTCACGTCACAGTTTTTATCTCGTCATCCATTTTTTTTTATTAAGTACAATATAGTCGAGTACATTCAAGATACATAATCTTAAAGAAAACATCGAGATATTTTAATACACATAATATCGGGTTACCTCCCCATTTGTTCTTTACT